AGCCTTCTGAGGAAGAGCATTTACAGTGTTTTCAGATGGACAGTCCGCCTTGTCTGCAAAAACATTCTGCTGTGGTTCTAGCCTTTTAAATATATAGTACATATATAGTTCTATAAAACTAGTGGTCTGGCTTTGGTATTTAGTAACAGGTTAAATTAAAGTCTGTGGTATCAGCCAAAGTGAGCATTATGCAACTTCCACATCTGGGACATCTATTCAGTAACCAGAAGTGAATGCTGCAGTGCACTAAGACAGTGAAAAATTATTTTAGGCTATTTTTTTTCCCTTGTGTATAGGTGAGGGCGGCATGGCATTGGACAAAATAAAAAATTGCTTCTGGCTTCAGTTAATAAAATAATTTACTAGATTCCCCTTGAAATGAGTTTTATGCCTTTTCTGTCTAATTTGATGTTTCCTCAAAAAAACCTCCAAATGACAAAACATTACACCCACTGTTTCTTAAAAGAATTTGCCAAAAAAGAATAATTATGCGAGACTGCTATAACTCAAATTTGAACTGGAACTTATTGTGTAGGAATATGGATTTCTATTACACTGATAGGCTTAATTCCTCTTCAGGGGGCATGGACAAGAGCTGATCAGCAAACAGGATTTATGTTGCATGGGAATTCTAACAGTTTGACATTTGCTTGTCAAATCATTAAATATTTCCATAGGACTGTTACCAAAAAAAATCCCAACTTGCTTTGGAAATGTCACACAAAAATATCTACATTTTGCATCAAAATGTCAAAACAAAACATTGATTCAAGCTGCTATGTTTCAAAATGTCAATTTGGTATATTTTTATCAGTATTTTGGCTGTATCTGATGTGTAAATTCTATTTAGAATTTTTTTGAGAAAATTTCATTGAATTTTACTTATCCATAGTAAAATAAAGGCTCAAAAAAACCCCTATGTTTTTCAACAACATTTTTTTTTGCTAGAATTGTCTCACAGCTCTACAGACAATAGTACATGGAAAAATACTTTTTTATTAAAACTTCCTAAAAGGTAGTTTTTGCCATTTTTAAAAACTGCAAAGAGCGAAGATACTATTAGACAACAACATCCACAACCTCAAGTACAACAATAGAAAATAAAGAAAAAAGGAAAACACTCAGTTTACTGAATCTATGGCCAATAGCATGGAAAAAATCCTTCACTGCCATGTGCAAATTCCACGCTTGTTACATTTGTAAATAAATCTCGGTAAAGAAAGACACTTCTTATTCATGGTATGAACAAAATATTTCAGTGACTACCTTACTCATCTTAGGAACAGTAAATCCCTGAGAGCTCACCTCAGTACAGACAATCCTAGGGAGAATGTTTTGGAATAGCCAAAAATAAGAACACTCAGTGGAGAAATCAGACTCAAAGTATATCCATATATCCATATCCATATCCTGAAAATCATGCTGCTAGTTCGATCACAGGCTGTCAGAAGCCTCCCTACATTGGGTTTTTCACCTTTTGATTTTTCATCTGATGCCTTGTCTCCTAGTATAATCACAGAATCCTAGTGTCATTAAAGTTGGAGAAGACCTCTAGGATTATCTAGTCCAACCATCAGCCCATCACCATTATGCCCACTAGCCATGTCCCAGAGTGCCACATTTACTTTTTTCTTGAAAACCTCCAGGGAAGAAGACTCTACCACCTCCTTGGACAGCATCTTCCAATATCTTGTCACTCTTACTGAAAAGAAATTTTTCCTGATATCCAACCTGAACCTCCCTGGTGTGACTTAAAGCCATTACCTCCCATCTTACTTACATGGCTTATGTATCCTGGCTGCATCTGCCACATAGAACCTTGCTAATTGTGGGAATTACAAGGGATGTTATCTCAGTGATATGTTACTATCCAGTTGTTGTTTTTTGTTTGTTTGTTTTGTTTATTTGTTTGCTGTTTCTTCCCCCATTGGATTTTCTTGGACCTTTCTCTTCTGGGACAATTTATATTCCTAATGCCCTAGGCCCAATCTTGAGCCCATAAAAACCTCCAGGAACTGAAAACCAGGAGCTGGCCATCTCATGCTCTATTAATCAACAACTTAGACCACATTTTCCTCTTCACCAGCTTTCACTCATAGCACTTCCAAAATTTCTGCACAATGCTAAGCAGTTTTACAGTAATAAAATACATCTCTTAACTAATCTATTATCCCTCTATGTCCGAGAATGTGAGCAAAATCAGAATGTAGAACTCAGTCACATTTTTCAGTTCAACTTGCAAATTTGCCAGTGAAGAAATTATTTTCTCCTGTAACATTCTGGTCAAAAAGCATCAATTGGCAAGTTATGCTCATTTACATATATTTTCTATTAAACTTTTCTATCATAAAAAATTGCCTTTATGATCTAGACACATAATTTATTATGCAATGCACCACCACCATCATCACACTGAATTGCATTTTACGTGTTTATACTAACAGGGAAGGTGATCAGCTTTAGCCTTCTTTTCATTATATGCATCATTCATCCTCCCGCACCAAGATCTCTGGATTCTGTGGCATATCCATCATTATCTAACTGTCAACTATTTTCAGAGGTTCCACTGCTTTAAGCTCATTATTTCTTCAGATTGGTGAATCTACAGAGAATCTTTCCATAACATACAGAATTCAGCATGGTACATATGTACAGATGAATGGTAGAGGTTTGTCCTTCGCAGGCTCTTTGTACCTAGTTTTGCCCCAGAACTGCAGCATGTAATGAGCAGCAAATGCATACTCATAGTACTAAAAATAATAAAAAGTTAAATGGCATTAAAAATAATAACCAAATAGCTGCACCTTTGTACGGATGAGATGTTGTGAATAATCCTAGCTTACACATTGTTCAGTAGTTTGGTGTTACTGTCTCTTTATTCTGCAGGCTGCATAGTCAAAGAGCAGCACTAAGATAAGGATTTTTTTTCTGTCTCTGTTTACCTTAGTACATTTAATTTAATCAATAGCTGAATGGGGAAGAGGAGGAGAATTGGATGGTTCAAGAGACTGATAATGTGCTATCGAACTTTTCATCTCTATATCATTGATTCAACATAGGAATTGACACACTGGACCAGAGCAGTGGTCCATCTTCTCAGGTATCTCTCTGACAGTGACCCGTACTATATGTGCTTCGGGAAGAGGCATCAAAAACCCTATAGTAAGCATTTATGAAATAACCTGTTCATAGGATAGTTTTTTTTTCCTAAATCTCCTATTTACAGTATGCCTGATGTTCACACCCAGGGCAATCAATAACTTTTCAAAAATCTTATAAATTCTACATTTTGTGACAGATGGTGCATTTAGCTACATACACGTCCGTCTGCCTCTGCTTGCAGTTGGAGTCTTGGCCACCAAATTGCAATGAGTTCCAGAGGAGAATTATGAATGGCAAAAATGTCTAATTTCATTGCAGTCATTCTTAGCTTGTCATCTTTCTAAATAAATAAACTCTTCTGCAGTGTTTAACTTCTCTTTACTAACCATTATAACTAGCAGCACATAAGTCATCTTCTGACTCAACAAAATAATTTGAAACTTTCAATCTGCCTTGAAATGAAGGATTTTGATGCTTCTAATTATTTCCATTTAATCTCTGTGCTTCATCTGTTTCTGCTGCATTCTCTTTGGGACAGGATAACTAGAACTGAATGTAGTACACTACTCAGTCAGGGCATATCACTGATGTTCTTAATGACATTCTAAGATTTTTGCTATTGTTTCTCTTCCATTCCTTTTGCATCTTAAGTGTGCTTTCTTTTATCTCTGTACATAGTAGAGTGTTTCACAGAACCATCTAGTATATGGCATTCGTCTTATCTTGAGTGACAACAGCAATGTATTTGGGTAGCACAAATTATTCCTTATGTTAGATTTGTCAAAACTAAACCTTATCCTGATTATTCAACAGAATGTGATAAATTTACATGAAATTTCTATACTGCTTTTTTTGATAGTGAATTTTCTGAAATATTTGAGTTTCCTTCAGTGCTGTTTTTCTTACAAATATAATATGCATTTTGCATAACTAATATACAGGAAAAAAGAAACCAATATCAAACCTTGCTATGAAGTAATCAAATCCACCCACATGCATATACAGATATTAACTTTCTGTAGGTTCACAATGTCTTTTCATTATTTAAACAGTACCTAACCCTTCTTGTGTTCTCCACCTGTGTCTATTTCATGGCAGCATTTTTCAAATATACATATATATATATATATGTTTCAGAAGTTCAGTTAAAATACACTGTTTGGTTAACATAACACATTCTGGGCTTTCTTTATGTCACTATGTCACTTTCTGTCACACTGTTAATGTCACTATTATATAACACTAAAATCACTGTTATTATTCCAGTGCTAATTTTAATTTAGCCATAATTAGTTGGCATTTCCAGGGACTTTCCTAAAGCCTTAAAAATCAGCCTCAGCCCTTGCGACTTGATTGACAATGGCAGCCTTTACTGGGACATTATGTATATCTAAGAGCATCTCAGCCACTTTTTTCTTAAATACCTTTCCCAATTTTGGATATCCTGTCCCTCAGAAAAAAAAGAAAAAAAAAAAGAAAAGGCAAAAGCAGTTGTCTTTGCTAGCATAAGTGAAATAGCTAATGTTCTCAACTCCAATCTTAATTCAGAATACAAACTAAAAACTGAACTGGTGACCTTGTTAGTAGTCCTAGCAAAGACGTTGTATACATGCAGTAAGAACAAAATGACTCTTTCACCGTGGTGAAGATTATTGTCTTTTGATACTAGAATTAAGTAGCTGGTTTTTTTGCTAAGCAAAACCTTTCAGCTTTTTTCTTCTGAGTTCATGCCTAAATGAGTGAGAAGAAGTCCTAAGTCCATCAGGATTTTAAATATTCTTAACAGGAACTACAATGGTGCGACACTAAGTATACCAGCTAGGCTGCAAGTGATGGGTTCTTAATGCCATTCTAAGACCAGATAAAAATTATTTTTGTTTGTCTCTTTTACAAAACAGAGCTCTCTAATCCAGCACCTACCAGGAATGTTCAGCTCTGTCTATATGAACCTGAAGACCACCTAGAAACAGAAGCTTCAGATGTGCACAAGTCTCCATCTTCATTCTCTTCTACAGATTTAGCTGAACTGAAGTGTTCAGAGTGAAACTGCCAGCTGGAAGAAAAAAGTCAGCTTAGTTACACTCAAGATTTGCATCACTTCAAAGACACTGAGGATCAAGGAGGCCCACACCCTGTGCCCAGCTGAGAGAGATGAAGAAACTAACAGTGTGGGATGCTTCTCAAGAGCACATCTCCCTCTCCCTGCACCCGCCCAGCATTCCCATTGCACATGGGCACCAGTCACAGCTTCGGGCACAAGAAATTCTGCTTTACTTCTCTGCCCACATCGCTCATAGGCATGTTCAGATAAGCTGAAGATCTACCCTATAGCAAGGGAAACATACATTATTCTCAATGTTACTTATGCCATCAGTGTTTTCAGGTTAATTTGTAAAAAAATATGACCTGAAAGCCTAAGATTGAGTTTCAAATGAGACAGTTAATTCAAGGCTTGGTTTAATAAACCTAATTTATTATGTGAGATAACAGAGTTCTGCAATTGACTGCACAGCTTCATGGCTGAAGTTAGTAATTCCTATGAATAATGCTGCTAAAAGTATTATGTAGTCAGTCTGCAGCAGTCAGATGTGGTGCCTCGACAGCAGCTATCTGCTGTTATTGCTAAAATGTGGAAAAAACAAGAGGATGAATCATCTCAGCTGTAAATAACTGAGTTGCAGGGGCACAGCTGGAGCATTACGGCTCCCTACTCTTGCACAGCCCTTCCTATAGCTGCTGCAGCGTGCCACTATTGAGGGCCAAAGATGAAGAAGTTCTGTAACTTGCTGCTGCCATGTTTGCAAAAAAGCATACTCTTTTCTCTAGCATTTCTGAGTCTGGTGTCTTGGTCTTAGTGTCTATGTTTAAAGCATAACTGTAGCACTTCTGGATACCACCCTCAGTAGATGAAAATGTACAATGTTGTAATAAAGGTATAAAGCACTGCAATATGCTGGCAATGCCAGAACCAAGGCCAGGTAAATGAGTTTACCCAGAGGGTACTTCTAGGAGTGCAGGAAAATGCTTAATTCCGATAGAATAATTAGAAGACTGAAAGGAGGAAAAAGAAAAAAGAAAAAAAGAGTTATTTGAGTGAATAGAAGTGAGGTTTTCTCATGTACAAGGGCTTAAATGACACTGTAATTTTTCTCCTGAGAAGCTGCAAAGCTGGCCAAGCACAATTCTGAATGATTTGCCTACAACGCATAAGGTATAAGATACCGCTTTTAAGTCAGATGCACCAGTAATCCTTTCTCCTATAGTAGTTTCCCCATCTCCTGTTTTACATCTCACACTACTGTGATTATACAGATTATAATCCATTTAGAAGTGTATTTAAAAAGCAGCATCAAAAACATTTTGAAATACAATCTGGTATTGCAGTCAACAGTCAGAAGGTGGGACAAGTGCAACAATTTTGTGGAAAATGCATGTGAGCTTTGCTCTCATTTCTACTTCAGCTACTCATTTCTACAACATTGCTACTCACAGGTATAAAAATCTGGGAGGGTGAAAGTAGTTAGAATCTGAAATTAAACAAAAATTCCCTAAGAGAGTGTATGATATCTGCATCTTCAGTTGCATCTTCATTACAATCGTAAGCAAGAACACGCCTGTCAGACTCACAGCGAGGGCTGTCTGTAGCGTGCATTACCTGGAGGAAAGCATCCATGCAGCGCAGGGCGTTTGATGAGAAACTCAGCAGCACGCAGGACCTGCTGCTCAGAGCCTGCTGGTACGCTCGCCCCACAGCACCACCGCAGCAGATGGGGACAGCAGACAGGGCAGCGATGCTGTGGGGAAGGTGGCTTCTTCGTAACACTTCCACTTCAAGCAACTTCGTGTCAGCAGTCAAAGTTACTGGTTCATGGAGTAGTGGCCTCCTGAAAATTGCTGCAGGACTGACATAGCTGTTAGTTTATCTGGCTAGCTTTAATAAATGGATGTGATACTATAAGGCTTGCTAAGGGATGCTGGCTCTCTATGCACAGCAGAATGGTTGGGTTAGTGGATTTTCATACTGATTTTCCATTGCTTCAGTGAGATAAAAATGAACCTGGAAAAATGTAGGAGACATAACCACCTTTTTTTTTTTTTTCCTGCGTTTGTTAATATCATGATGTGCTAATGCACTTCATAACAAACGCTAATATTCAAACTACAGAAAAAATTATAGTATTTCTATTTAATTAATAGTTGGATATGAAAAAATGAATGGGCATTCCCCAGCCTGAGCTGCACAGAAGAAAAAGACTTTTCAGTACATTCTTTGACAGTAAACCTTCGTCTTATCCTTCCAGGTGGGAAAGTATTTTTGTTTTTTTTTTTTCATGTTTTTAATCATCCTGCAGACCTCTCAGCTGACAGCCACTCCTTTATTCATGAGCCTATGTATTAAGGATGATACAACCTCTTAATAACCTTAATCAGGTTATTTTTTATTGTGTTTTAATTCATTATAATCCCAGTAAGTCTGTGGAAACCTGTGGAATTAAAATTTGTTTCTTTAATGGCTTATCTTTAAAACAGTAGGTACAATCGGCATTAAATTATTATTTGTCAAGAAAGAAACACATACATTGGTAAGAAAAAACTTTACAATGATAGATCTCAAGGTTTTATTTAAAGGAAACAAAACAAAATCTATAAGGGGTTGCCCTTTCTCCTTAGTTTGAACTCACAAGGTAATGCTAATTTGTCACTAACTCTTCAAGTTTCTACTTTATAGCTACTCCAAGAACATCTTTTGGCAACATCTAAGATGTCCTTCTGCGTACAATTAGTCAGTATGTTGCTTGGCAAGTGAGTTGTGATACAGATCCCAGTATGTACATCACGGTATTGGTGTTGGGTATTCGACTGCTGGTCAGTGAGACTGCAGTGTAAGCACAGTGGTCAGTTCTCCCCTATAGTTTAAGTCTAATGTAAGAGTCCAAAAAAAACAAAAACAAACAAAAAAACCCAACAACAACAACAAAAAACAACAACAAAGCAAAACCAAATTGTGAAAGAAGAATCTCAAAAAAAAAAAGAAAAAATCCCCCAAATTAAGATTTTTTCTTTTTTTAAATTTTAAATATCTGAAGATATTTATAAAGATATTAATAACTCAAGCATTACTGTGAGTTGAGTTTCACTTGGTTGAAGAAAAAAATAAATTGAAGGGAGGAACGTATGCTCAAAGCACTGTTGTACTGTCATCATCAAACAATGGGAATCTTTGGTTCCAAGCACAACTTCTGGTACAAAGATGAGGCAAGCTGATATTTATAATTAAAATAGCATATATGTAGCCAGTTATTGAGCTCCTTGCTGGCACCTCACACCAATCATGATTATCAGTCAGAACCCAAGACCCAGATCAGAATATAAAAGAGACTTTGTTTGAGGGAGAGATTACATGTTTATGTGTGATAATGTGTTGCTGGCTTTTCTCACTTCCTAAGTTATGGCTCATCAGGTAGCATTAAGATGATAGATTCAGGAATATGTTTATGATTGACCACATACAAGACAAGAACATCTATCACCTATACTGAATGTAATATTATGTGTTAGTTCTGGATTTGTTTTATTGTATAATTAGCAAATCTTTGTAGAGGATGTTTCTCTGCGATGTAACGAACTACTATTCTACAAATTCAAACTAGCAGTTCTGTTTGTGTGTTGGCACTGGAGCCACACAAGTGCTCTAAGAACACCAACTGAGAAGACAAGACTTGAAGAAATTCACTGCACTGATTTTTTACATTCCTGACAGCACTTACCAATCCCATGTGATTCAGACATAGTTTTTACTTTCAACAGCTCTCCCAATTAAGCCCAAAATTCAGAAAGCACCACTTCAAGAGACAAAGGACCAAGACAAGCAAGAAGAAAGTAAAAGAAAGAAGCAAGGAGTAGAAGAAAGGCAAGAAGATTTTATAGCTAGATTCTACACACTTAGAGAAAAAAAAAAAAAAAAAAAGTACACTTAATACTCTGCTTCTGCCACTTTCCTCTGAAGTATTCACTACTGTCAGAGACAGGAAATTGAGCCAGATGAAGCTTAATCTAATATCGTTACTCCTGTAATCCTATTTCCATGGAGATCTGTTATTTCACTGAAGGCAGCAGATCTAACAGATTCTGTTATTTGATAATTGTGGATCTGTTTTTAAGGATCTAACTGCAATAAATTGTCTATTTGCCCTTCCTTAGATAGCAGGTCAAATTCTGCCCACGGGTCTTTGGAGTCAATGTGAGACATACATGTGCTGTTAGGACAGACCTGGACACCAGTGGCCACATTCCCTACAAGTCAGCCTGTACTGTGCATTTCTGTTTTTCCTGTAGGAAAGGAATCTTAATTTATAAGCTCACGACAGTCTGTGTTTGAAACAATGCGCTCTTAAACCAGTAATTCTAGTGTTTGTTTTCTGAATTTAAACTATTTCCAAAGAGGTGATATAGACCAACCGAAAGTATAGAGTTAAAAAAAGAAAAGGGGAGAAGAGAGAGAGAAAAGAAAAAGGAGGGGAAAAAAAAGGAAAAAAAAAAAATGTAAAAGAGGAAAGAAAAGAGGAGAGAAGAGAGGAGAAAAAAGAAAAGAAAAAAAAAGTGAAAAAAAATGAGAAAAAAAGGGAAAAAAGAAAGAAAAACAGAAAAGTGGTGTGGGCGTTTACTTGTAAAGCAGTAGAAAACAATGCTGTAAACAATAAAATACAAGTTGATATGATCAGTTTCCCTATAATCTGTAGTCCTCAGGTTTCCAAACACAGGGTTTTGCTATTTCTGCCTGGTTGCAAACACTTCAGCTGCCACTCCTGACAAAGCACCATCACAGCCACGTAGCAGCATGGTGAAGATCCACAGGCAGGTGCGCAGCACAGCTTCTCCAGAGAAGACAGAGTGCCTGCATCCCTCCGCTTTGGGTCTGAGCTCAGCGGATATAACTGTCATTTGCTCATGTGCTCTTACCAGCTATGGGGCAGTTAAAAAAAAAAACACTGAATATGGTTAAACATGTATTATTAACTTGTTGTTAAGCAATAACAGATAATGGGAGAACATTTCCTAGCAGTTAATGATTGACCAGAGGAGATGACTGGGGACCTTAAAACAGTCAGCCATTAAATGTGGAGTAATACCCTTGCTTTTACCCACCGTAGCTACTTGCATTTCCCCCTACCCCTCCTTCACCCCCCATTTACAGCTTCAGATTTCTGCACTCCATTAATATGAATTTCAGTTTCTTTACTTAGCTATGTACTTATTCCCAGCCTTAGTAGCTGGCACATAAAATCTTCATTCACAATAATCTAAGAGATATCCAATAAATTGTGCTTGGATTGCTGATTAAATTAAGATTATTATGAAGTATTAAAATGAAGATTTTATCCACATTTTAGTGGTCACAGATGAAAAAACTACAAATATCAGTGTAATCCATTTATTAGTTCATGGAAAAGTCCTATAGGGAGTGTTAAAATTCCCTATGCTATCCCTGAGTGCATTTTGCATTAGAACCTCTGATTTAGCTGAAAGATGTAAAAAAAAAAAAAAAAAAAAAAAAAAATCACACACGGCCAGATCCCTCCTGGCTACACATCTGAGAAGGCTCAGGAGCATAAGGTCGACACACAGCAACTCTCGCTCACAAAATGAGCCCAGAATTACCTGTTTCAGATGTTAATATGCAAAAATTTTCCAGGTCTGAATCTTTTGACCAAATCACACCACTTTTGTGATCTGTTTTCCCTCTCTGTTCTTCCTCCTCCCTCTTTTCCTCCCATTACCTGCCAGGCACACAAAAACTGTGGAAGCTAACAGGCAGCAAACTACAAACAGGCAGCAAACTATTTCATGGAAGCCTGTTTTAAGTAAAGTAGTTGTTTATCTTATTCAAGGAGTCTCATAATAGATCCAAAGTTTTCCTGTCTGAACAAAAAATTTTGCAATAAAAAAGGAAAAGAAGAAGTAAAGTTATTGAAATCTCAAAACAAAATGTTTAGTCCCTTCCAGATGGAAGCAATTTGTAGAGCAGAAAAAGCCTAAGACTAGGGAAGAGGATGGAATTATTTTAGCACATTTTAGAATTCTTGCAGTGTGAGTTGACTCAGATTTTGCCCAAAGCTATATAATGTTATCGGGATACTTATTGACTAAGATTAATTTAAAAGTAGATTTTTCTGATCATAGTCACATGAAGGAACTCTTTTGGGTAACTGTATGTGCAGCTTGAGCAACCTGATGGTGCAGCTCTCACTCACAGGGATAGCCAGCACTCTCCTGCTCGTGAGCCTCTGCAGTCAAATGCCCATCACATTCGTAACTTCACTTTGCCTGCTTTTGTTTTGAGACTGAATATCTCTGTTTCAGTCATGTCTTTAAGGCACAGGAAGAGTCAGGCCTTCCTTGTGGTAGGTGCTTTTCAGAGAGATTGCTCCCTGCTGCCTCAGTGAAAAGAGTTTATGTGTGGGATGAGTGGGTCCACCTCCTACTCACGGCCTCTGTCCTTCCGCTGGCCTCCAGCTCTGCCGCTCCTTCTTTCCTATTCTGTTCTCGACCTCTTCTCACAATTGCCCATCTCTTTGTGGATGGTCTCTCTGCTGTTCTCTCTTTCACCTAATATGGGTTTTGATTTGCCATGGGGAAAAAAAAAAAAAAAGACCCAAAGAAATAACGTTGGCTTTTAGCTCTACATTTATGCTTCCTGAACAGAAACTCTGCCTGCATGAAAATCAAATAGGGAAGAGAATAAAACATGGTGATTTTGAGACCAGATTTTCCCTGATTCCCAGAGAAGCCCAGAAGTCAGAAAGTCACTGTCAGCTCCCTGTTTCTGTGTTTCAGCCTTATTTTCAGCACAGGTGAGAGCTTTATGCCACCACTCTTGGCTCTTATTCTGTCTTTCCTAGAGTGGGAAGCATGTGGGAATGCATGACAGAGCTTCAGCTCCTGCAATCCTGAGGTGGTGAATACCATTACAAATTAGAGCAGCCCTGAAAGTGCTCCAGCTTCTGCCTAAGGACAGCCCCAAACCTCCTTACAATCTGCGCAGGCTGATCTCAGCAAGGTTCTGCAAGACCCCAGGTTTTCTCTCGGGAGGCTCACAGGGTGTTATAAGAGGGCAGAGCTCGGCTCGGCGCGGCTAAGTAGTGTCAAAGGGAGACCATCCGATGATAAACACAACGTGAGCTGAAGTCAGAGGCAGCAGCAGACTCTGCCTCTCAAACCACGACAATGTTCCTGTTTGGCTACAACTACATGATCTCATTTACAGAACTGCAAACTAACAATACACTATGAAAATGCAAAGCATTGTGCTAACCGGGAGTTTGGCAGTGTCCTCCTTTGGTACATTTGTGTCATAATTAGAAGACAGTTTTTTTGCCTGTGAATAATAAATACTTTGAGCTCGAATTAATTCAAATATTTATTTATCCCCCATCTCACATGGTAAAATAATAGAGATATTCTAGGCCATCTCCTGTTGCCCATTAATGTTGTGTATATAAATAAGCCAGGTTATCTTTTCCTTGTGAGAAATGTTTTATCTTGCAGTCTCTTGTCTAGTGGTTCAGTACTCCACCACTCTAAATTAGGATACTTTATCTTAAGGCTTCATAATCTTACGAGACTATAATTGGAAAGTTTATAAAAAAAAAATCCTGCTTTGTAAGCTTGGCAGCTGAGATAGAAAGAGGGAATGAGAAGGGCTACAGCAGAATTACACCATCACTGCTAGCCTGACTCCGCTTGACAGAGCCGTTTAATATTTTGACAAGACAAAATATAAAGCAGCATTTTATTCTGTAGAGACTTCACTAGACACAAGCATGGAAGTGCTTGTGATCAATAAAGTTTGCGGTGGAGAGTGATTTATTTACAGCAGGGTATTATGTAGAGAAAGAGCTGTGATATTTCCACAGGCTTTGACGGCATAATGGGCCCCTCTCAATCCTTACATGGAAGGGTTAGATTGTCATGGTTGCTCAGGCAGTATTCAAAACGTTATCTGATCAGCCTTAAAGACTTCAGAACGAGACAGATGATTAGTTACCCTAAACGATCCTCATCATGCAGAAATTGATGATTTAA